ATTTATTTCAGCTCATCATTTCCAATTTTCCCCAAGAATTTTTGGCCAGTGTACCCAATAAAAGCTGAATGCAAAACTGCACTCTAAGTCCAGTTACTTTATTCCCAACGGCTGTTCCTTCTGTTATTAGACATATTATTTACTCATTTTGCCTTTTATTTATTTATTGCTAGAAAACTGGTCTGAGAACTGATTGACAAAGATGCTACAGCTTCCATTCTTATTACTTAAATGAACTATATCTGCACTCGAATAGGTCCTTTTTTTTATCCTCTCTGTATTCACTTTCTGTATCTTCTTTCACATCTTGCTGCTATTCATTCTTCTGGCCTCCTGATATGGAAGATCAAAAAACTGTGAATCCTTATAACGTATTCCAGCAATTTCTACTCTAGATCTGATAACTGCTATTTGTAGGATAAAATTTTGCTCCTTGCAAAATTGGATACAGAAAGTGTTCTGCCTACAAGGGCATCATGCATTTAAGTTTTGTAGTTTAAGAACCATAAAAACCTGAGGTTGGAATGGTCCTCTGAAGGTCAGCTAGGCTAACCTTCTTTAAACTGGGCAAAGTTAGATCAGGTTTCTCCAGGCCTTGCTCAGCTCAGATTTGAAAATCTCAAAAGATGGAGATTTCAGAACTTCTCTGGGAAAACTCTTCTAGTGCTTCATCACTCTCATCTTGATTTTTCCCCACTGATATCCAGTTGGAATTTCCTTTGCAGCAACTGGTATGTTTTTATTCTTGTTCATTTACTGTATACAGCAAACTTTTTACAGAAGAGGCTTCTGCTTGAAATGGTGTGTTATCAACAGTGGTGGAACCACTGTCATTGATCAGGGTGAACTCCAGCTCAGCAAAGGCACACTAATAAATTCCTCAGTATCTTGTGGATGAGTTAGACAGCAGCTACTGAAAAAGTAAGTTTCAAAGAACCCTGGAGCTAGGACATTTACTTTACGAAAGGCAGTGAAAATATCTGAAGTTTGGCCAGCAAAACTAGAAGCACCTGTAATCAGCAGTCACGCTTGAAAATCTTCGCCTCAGGCTTTGTTTATTGCACAGTCTTGTATGAAATAACATGTAAGCAAATAACAAATTAAGCAATTTTCAAGAATTTATAGCACCTTCAACAAATAAAGAGGTTTACCTTTCAGATAGAAACCCAACCTTAAATCTCTTTCCATAAAAAAAAAAAAAAAAAAAAAAAAAAAAAAAAAAAAAATCTCAGTTGAGTCTGTTAGTTCTTCAAGGATTTTCCTAAAACTTTAGGCATCTAGCTACCGACTCCAAATGTCTTCAGAATCTGACCATAACCTAGTACTAAGTTATAGGCAAGATATTTTTAGGGCGACCTCTTCTTGATTTTTGACAGAGCTTAGTTTTACTGTAACAGGGAATACCAGCATCTGACTAGCTAGTAGCCCATTCAATCTCAGCCCCATTAAATCAAAGCTACTGTGAACAGATAAATCAATGATTTATTAATGGAGATAGGGTGGAAGTTGTGTGAGGACAGGTTCCCTCCTGCTGAAAGAAACTATTTCCTGGGTGGCTTAAAAACACACAGGTAGGTTGCCAGTTAGTTACTGTAGAGATCATTCATTTTTGGGAGCGAACTGGACTGAGAGATTAATGAGTTTACTTTTTCCTTGCTTTAACTGTGCCAGAGCTTATGTCAGGGGAGCTGGCTATGGCATAGCTGGGATGCTTACTAACATAGATGTGCAGGACATTTTAATGCAGAGGGAAGGAGAGTGTGATTGCCTTATACACAGCTAGCCAAAATCCTAATCAACTATCCAGCAACAACAACCTGCTGGAACCCAGCAAGCCTGTCAGCCTCACAGTTGCAGTCCCCAGGGACTAGGGATAATGAAATGGGCTGGTCCAAGAAAGTTAATCTCTTCTGCTTTCCCAAACAAGCCTTCTCCCTAATGAAAGCAAAAGCATTCATGTAGGTATGGTTCAGAAAGGAAGGAAAGAGAAGGGATGGGAAGGTAAGACAAGGCAAGGCCAGGCAAGGCAGGGCAATAAGGGAGAATACTGAATGATACGCCTCTGTCTTTTGAATTTCCTGTAAGCAAAAATATCTTACTTCCACATTTGTTCTTAAATAACCGTCTTTACCTTAAAAAAAAAAAATCACCCTTTTGTTTTGCCTCACAATACTACTTAAATATATGCTAAACCAGAATGATTTCTTTCTCCAAATGCCTGTTTAAATGTTTAAATACTTGTTGTTTGTTAAAAAATGTGTTAGGATACCAAAGTTTCTAAACATGTTTTATCAAGTGAAGGAGATATGAGACAAAACCAACTGTATTACCACTGCATTTCTATAGTTAGGGGAATAATATGTTTTGTTCCATCAATGTGTCCACTTTACATTATTCAGCACAAAGCTTTGTGAAATAAGAATCATGGGGATATCACAATATAAAGGAAAAAGGTACAAATAACAGCTTCATAAACTGAGAAATGTACATAAATAAATCATGTAGATGGGGGCAGTTTGCTTAGCTGGCAAGAAAAAAAATATAGAAAATCTGCTTGTTAAACAATAACCACAGAGTGTGCTTTTATGATGTTTTTCACCACAGTAATTCATATTAGAGATAGAAGCAGTTGCATGTTAAATAAAATCATTCAGCATTGTTCTCCTCACATTACAAAGAGCTGACTTATGTTGTTTTTAGATGCCTCCCATTAGAAAGTAAATATTCCTCTGATGTTACACATTTCAGAAAATTTAATAAAGATGAACTGTAAATAAAGTCACAGGGAGATTTCAGACAGTTTTATTAGCAGATTGTTGAAAAGAAAAGAAAATTAAATACAATAACAGTAAACGTGGTTCTCACATTGAAACCAGGCTCAAATAACTAGGCTACCATAGAAAAATTTCCAATTCTTGCATTATGATGTAAAAACAGATTTTTGTACAGATTTTGTACAACAAAATTCGTAATAACCTTTTTTCATTTTTAGAAAACTTTAAATATATAGATAAAAATAGACAATTTTCATAGGTCCTACATGAAGATGAGTATGGTCTGTTCCAAGGGCTTGCATAGAGCGCAAATGTGGTTATAATATAGAACAACTAGACATTAATATCTTTAAGATTACAAAAGCATATAAACAATAACATGAGCACAACTTTTCTTCATAATCTATGCCAAAAAAAACCCTCCAAATCAAAAACAAAAACCAGAATACCAACCCAAAACCTGTATAACTAAAGAGGGGCAAAAAATTCAACTTACAGTAACATCTCATTGTCTGTAATATTTACACTGGTTTTAGCAAGATTCTTTCTAAACTTCCAGCTTATAAATTGGTTCCCCCTTAATCCTTAACGTTTCCATTTATGTACCAAGCCAAACACTGAGGCATTCCCAAAGGTCTTGAAAGTATATACTGTAAAACTACTAAACCTACTTACAGGTGACTCTATGCAAGGAGCAGAGCAATGGTAGATGCTACTACATATTTCAGTTGTAGGCTTTTAATTCTCTTTCAGATATGAATGATTCAAAAGCTTGCCACAAGTCCATCTAACTTTACAGCTGTTAACCCTTTAAAGACTGCATATGAAAAAACTGGAGTACAGAATCCCATATGTGTTCAAGCAACTATGAAAATTAGGAAAGAATCATGGTTAGAAAATAATATCACTACAAAGTATTAGGTAACAATATTTAATGAAAAATATTGCTCAATATTTCTTTAAAAAAAATTACCGTGATGTGAACTTGTATATACATCTTTCTATTGTTAAAAAAGGATTGTGGTGGAGTAAATATGAACGGCACAAAATAAATGTGTACCAGTATTGCAAGGAAGACCTACAAACTATAGAAGCTCAGTGCTAGAGTTTACAAAACATTAGATTTTTTTTTTTTTGACAAAATAATATTAATATCCAATCAGAACTATTTTTAAAGAAATATTTGCTTTAAGTTAGGCATCTTAGACATTTAAGGTTTTGATATGTTTCCATGTAATAAATAATATTTCATATGCATAAAACATTAGATGAAGAAAGCATAATCACAAAACTTACAGTAATAGCACTGATTCACAAAATCAGTCTTTAAAGGGGTAACCCAAAAGTACGCAAAGCAAAGAACATAACTTTCAGCAATGTAATCAGCACTGTGTTGCAGCTTACTTCCAGTTATCAGCACAAAGGTGAAAACACATATTGTAGCTTTTATAAAGACAGTGAAAGTAACACATAACCACCCCATCCCTAAGACAAGGTGAGAGGGACAATAGACTTCAACTGTATCACTCAGTTCTACGTGGAATTGGACTGATACATCAAGTGTTTGTTAGGTTTTCTTTTTTTAGCAACATTGACGTAATATGACATTAACATATAAAAATATTTCTGGTATTTGACTTGCTGCTCAGCCACGGTCCATTCTTAAAAGTGCACTAATCAGGGCACTAACCAGGGCTCAATATACAAATAAAAGTGGCTGATACAGAATTCTGACTTGTTACCAGATGCTTAAGATCTCATTCAGTAATACTGTGACTCCAGGACAAATATTTACATGCCTGCATGCGTTAAAACTAGAAAGGTGTCTTTCTGACCAACAGGGTGACAAAACAATATTATCTAAAATTTTCATTTCCTAAACGCTAGATTTCTACTGCATACATAATACCTTCCTTGTGTGATTTGTGTTATATACTGTACATGTGACCAACAGTTTGATAAGAAGCAAAGTCTTTTATTTCATAAACCCCTGCCAGTTTACAATGAGAAATTATTACTCTTTTTATCATATTTTTTTTATTTTAGGAAAAGAGACTTTGTGAACAGTAAAACAGTTTGTTTACATTCAGCGTTTCTTTTCACTTACACAAAATTCCATTTCACTTAATGTAGTCTAACATACATGTGTTGGTCTCTTGGAAAGCATGTGGAAAAAATGTCTTTAGAAGAAAAACCACAATCATAGTTTGAAAACTGAATGTATCAATTTTTTTTTTCTTTTACCTTTTTTTTTTTTTTCCTTTTTTTTTATTAAGAATCCTCTTATGCCCTCTATAAGTTCACTTCTGAGCTGTCTTGCTGGTTTCGGTATGATATAACAGTCTGTAAGTGTACTTGGACACTGCTGGAAGGATCATTTGATGTGCTCAAATATAGAATCATCAGAGGAGGACAGAGTCTGCATTCCTTGAAAAAGGGAATACTCAGCCTTGTTCTGACCCGCCTGTAATTTTGGTTACAATAGTCCGGCGCAGAGATGCAGATTTTCACTGTAAGAAGAGTGCTACTGTACATTTACAAACATTCTCTAGGTCTCCATCGAGCCACAGGAGATAATCAAAGGAGGACACTCTTGCAGAATTCTTTACATTTTTGAAGAACATTGAAAAATGAAGTTGAGGAAGTTGCCTTGAAAATGCTTTGTTTCCACAGAACTCCTTATGAGCCAATGTCTTACTGCAAAGTTCTTTACTGTAGCACAGGTATCTTCAGCAGGAAAAACTCAGTACATGACAGTAGTTTTCAAATAAAGTCTTCCATCTGAAATATGAAAAACAAACATTTTCTTTATATATTTATATCTGCAATGAATTGAAAAGAGGAGAAAATCCACAAGATTTAAAGACTCAGAAGAAGTAGTCCCCCCGTAAATCAATAAAATGCCACCTATGGTATTTTATATTTAAAATAAAAAATATAGTAAAACCTGAATATCACCACTGTAATTTCATCTGACAGTGGTCAAATTAACTCTGTTAAAAAATACACACACTTTACAAGCTGTGAATACTGTGAGACCTTCTAAAGCTTTAATATATGCTGCACTCATATCAGTGCTAGGGCACTAGGAATGTAGGTGGAGCCTCTGTGCAAGTGTTTTTACTGATATGCAAACTTAACTGAATAGTGCTGAACAGTAATTATTTCCTTCATGGTTGCATGCAAAAATCTTCTTGCATGCAATCGTTAGTACTCCCACCACTAAAGGCATAGCTCATACTTTCTGATTTAGCTATGTTGTTAAATATACCATGTAATGTAACCATTGTGCACATTTGTAGCTATTTATATAGAACCCAGTATAGGATATTTAATCGGTATCAGTGAAGTATAGCCTTCTTCCCCCATAAATGAGATTAACTGAACAATTACTATGTTAAAGATGTAAGCACATCTCTTTCAACATTTTTTCCACCCAAGTGAGGAGCATATATTTAAGTGAGATATGTATGATGGAAAGGGAGCATGAGAAATAAGCTCATCTAGCCAGTAACTGTTGATCTCGAAAAACTTGAACACTATGTTCTGCCATAACATACTTTCACCTAATTTAAAAATATAAAGCCATTTTTTTTTTTACTTGAGACATGAACATCTCATATGCATCTATTCTTATAGCAATATAAAGTTGTTTGGTTTTGTTTTAAACTGGAAACAGAGAGAAAAACTTCTTCATTTTCTTACCTGTAGGATAGAAAGCATTGATCCTTTGTGAGTAAAGCACATTATGAAGCCTCTTAATCCTCCACAGTGCATAATTACGAAACACTACTTATATTTTAGAATACAATGCATCTGGAAGTACAAGCTGTATCTCAACTCGAAGTCTGCATGAAACGATTCTTTTGGTCCAAGTGAAATCAGCATTCATTTATAAGATTTCAGACAGTTTTGTTTCTATTAGTCTAACCTTTTTATTCCAAAATAGTCTTTAAAATTCTTATTATCAAGAAACAGAAAAGTTTAACTTGAAAGTAGACAAATGTACATCACAGACAGCTGTAAAAGTTATCCCTCCTGCACACCTCTTTCTAATTTTTATTGTCTAGTTTCTATCAGAACTTCTGGGGAAAAAAGGGACATGGTAGAATCACTCTGTCACAGTGATTCTTTACTGTCCTTTTGGTCTTCCTTTTTCACCACTAGTTTTCTTTTGCAAGCTTCTGCAGTGTACCCCTTTAGCTACTTTCTCCCCTGTCTTTACATTTTCCTGCCCCCCTTCCCTACTTTTTTATGTTCCTAGCTTTTTTTTGGCAGAGTAGATAGCTTTCCCACCACTTAGAGTGCTTCCACTCAGAACTATTTCCACATTCTCTTTGCTCTTTACAATCTTTGTGCACTGAAGAGAGATAAAAACAGATTGAGTAAGGCCTTAACTTAAGGCCTTTTTATTCTCATTTGATGCATCAAGAGCATTCAAAATGCTTACGGGAATTCAGGAGAGAAAGAAGGAACCTCTAAAATGGATCTTGGTAAAACTCAAGGCCTGGTAAACCATCTCGAAAGAGAACCTGCATCAAGTACACGATAGCCAGAGCTATTACTGGCTATAGTTGCATATAATTCTCCCAAACATATTGAATAAACACTACAGACATTTACAGCACTAAAGCTGTCTGGATACCTCTGTAGGAGAATTACTCTGCATATATACCAGCACTTTGGCTATTCTGACTGAATGCTTGCTAATGAGCGCTATGCATAATTCCCACACCTAAACATTAAGATAACCTACAGTCAGTAACTTGTATTTTATTTCTCTATATCAGGTCTCTGTATAGCTTTTAAAATAAAATATTTATTAAAACATACTCTCAATTAAAAATACAGCTGTAGGAAGCAGAATCCTTGTAGCAGCCAACAAAAGATGAACAATCCGCAGAGAGGAGCAGTATGTTTTCAAAAGTCAGCTTTATTTTACACTGCTTAAGGACTAAATGTGGCAGTGAAGTCAATAGGAGGTTTTACACTTTTAATGGAAGACACTACCAGATCCTGTATTCTGTATCCACAGACTATGAACAATAATTGAAATGGGCAGATTTATAAAGCATCTTCTGTACAAAGTAAGAGGATATTTGTTTATATAACTTAAAACCATTTATGATGCATATATACAATAAGCATAAATCTTCCTGTCCCTCAAATAACTATATGATGGACCATTAAAAGTGCAAATAAATAATATGTATTGATAATGGACTTAAAATGTCATATAAGGACTCAGCAGCTGATCTAATATCATTGCTAGGCTTATTATAAAACAGATATATTAAGGTGTTTGACTAATTCCCCTAACATATGGGAAAACACAGCAAGCATTAGACACATCAACTTTAAAATAAATCCTGCCATATTATGATACAGATAAAGCAATTCTATGACTAAGTAACCCTTACTAAGAGTTCAAAAGTTGCTAAAGATTGTAAAATATTTCCTTTATTTTCTCAAGATTAATCTTGAAAGAATGAGGTGCAAAATGAATATCCTTTTCTTTACAAAATCACAAAATCAGCTAGGTGGGAAAGGACATTGAAGATCATTGAGTCCAACTGTTAACCTAGCACTGACAGTTCCCAAGTACACCACATCCCTCAGCACTATGTCAAACTGACTCTTAAACCCCTCCAGGGATGGGGACTCCACCACCTCCCTGGGCAGCACATTCCAACACCTAACAACCTGTTCTGTAAAGAAATGCTTCCTAATATCTAGTTTAAACCTTCCCTGGTGCAATTTGAGGCCATTCCCTCTTGTCCTATATCTTGTTACTTGGTTAAAGAGACTCATCCCCAGCTCTCTGCAACCTCCTTTCAGGGAGCTGTAGAGGGCGATGAGGTCTCCCCTCAGCCTCCTCTTCTCCAGACTAAACACCCCCAGTTCCCTCAGCCGCTCCCCGTACGACCTGTGCTCCAGACCCTGCACCAGCTCCGTTGCCCTTCTCTGGACACGCTCGAGTCATTCAATGTCCTTTTTGCAGTGAGGGGCCCAAAACTGAACACAGGAATCGAGGGGCGGCCTCACCAGTGCCAAGGACAGGGCTCAGATCCCTTCCCTGTCCCTGCTGGCCACGCGATTGCTGACACAAGCCAGGATGCCATTGGCCTTCTTGGCCCCCTGGGCACACTGCTGGCTCCTGTTCAGCCAGCTGTCAATCAGCACCCCCAGGTCCCTCTGTGACTGGCAGCTCTCCAGCCACTCCTCCCCAAGCCTGTAGCGCTGCTGGGGGTTGTTGTGGCCCAAGGGCAGCCCCCGGCATTTGGCCTTATGGAAACTCCTCCAGTTGGGCTCAGCCCATGGCTCCAGCCTGTCCAGGTCTCTCTGCAGAGCCTCCCTACCCTCGAGCACATCAACACTCCCACCCAACTTGGGGTCATCTGCAAACTGACTGAGGGTGCACTCGATCCCCTCATCTAGATCATCAGTAAAGATGTTAAACAGGAGTGGCCCCAACACCGAGTCCTGGGGGACACCACTTGTAACTGGCCACCAACTGGATTTAACGCCATTCAGCACAACTCTTTGGGCCAGGCCATCCAGACAGATTTTTACCCAGAAAAGTCTATGACCATTTGAGCTACAAGCAGCCAGTTTCACCAGGAGAATGCTGTGGGAAATGGTGTCAAAGGCCTTGCTAAAGTCAAGGTAGACAACATCCACAGCCTTTCCTTCATCCAATAAGCAGGTCGCCCTGTCATAGAAGGGGATCAGGTTTGTCAGGCAGGACCTGCCTTTCATAAACCCATGCTGACTGGGCCTGAGCATCTGGTTGTCCCACATGTGTTGTGTGATGGTACTCAGGATGAGCTGCTCCATCAGCTTCCCAGGCAACGAAGTGAAGCTGACAGGCCTGTAATTTCCTGGATCATCCTTCCAACCCTTTCAGATGGGCGTCACACTGGCCAATTTCCAATCTGTCAGGACCTCCCTGGTCAGCCAGGACTGCTGGTAAATGATGGAAAGCGTCTTGGCGAGCACCCCAGCCAGCTCCTTCAGCACCCTCGGGCGTATCCCATTCAGTCCCATAGACTTGTGTGTGTCTGTGTGATGCAGGGGGGTTGTTCTCCCAGTCTCTGTCTTCTGGCTGAGGAGGCTGGATTCCCTCAATACAACTGGTCTTGTTATTAAAGACTGAGGCAAAGAAGGCATTAAGCACCTCAGCCTTCTCATCACTTGTTTCCATGTTTCTTCCTGCGTGAAGCAGGGGATGGAGACTCTCCCTGGTCTTTCTATTGCTACTGACATACTTATAGAAACATTTCTTGTTGTCCTTGATTGCTGAAGCCAAATTATTTTCTAGCTGGGCTTTAGACCTCCTGATTTCTGCCCTGCATAGCCTCACAGCATCTTTGTAATCACTGTGAGTGGCATCTAGTTAGAACCTATGGTGCCAATGTGGAAAAAAATCATAGTATATGTGTATCTGCCCACCATCCTCTCAAATCATGAATTTGAGAGAAGATGGAGAAATAATTTCTTTAGGCTTTACATTTTTCTTCCAGCATGCTCCTGTGTGTAGCTGATAAGTTTGTGTAGTCACTCGTTAAGGACTTAAACCAGGCAAATATCACTGCACTTCAGAAATACAAAGACTTCAAACTGTGCTAGGAGAAACAGAGGTAACTCACAGCTCTGGAGAGAAATGAAAACCTTGCTTTATGATTTGGTAACCAAATACAGTACCTAGATCTGATTGCTGTCCCTTTTACTTTTCAGACTGTTCCCTCTTTCCTAACCATTTATGTCTTGATTCTCATTGT